TGACAATATATATATATATATATTCAGCCTCCTGATGAGTCGGTGAAACTCCGACGAAACAGTTTGTCACAGCCCCTCGTTTGTTGTCCTCTTCTCCCTCTCTGCCTACGGTTTACCGGGCAGTTCTATTTGACGATATATATATAGGAGTGAGTTGGAGTGACAGTAAAGGTACTTTCAGTGAGGCGTAATGCATTGTCCATCGCTAGTCTGGATGCTCACCGTGCGCTGCAGCTATGAATTGTATTGATGTCGTGTGGACATTGTACATGCAACTGCTATGAACTTGGTTGTCTGTCGATTCTCACCAACACTCACACACAGACAATCTCACGCACGCCCATACATGCATAAGAAGAAGGAGAGAGGAGACAGAGGACACACTGCACACAGACAGAGTAAGCAAGGGAAAACACTATGCACAGGTGTGGAGATAACACAAAGTGTTTCTCACTCTCTGACAGTACTCCCAACAACCGATCACAATTAGACACTTGCGAGGATAACAAAAGAACAGTCTGAGATTGAGCCGATCTGAACCAATATCGGTACAGAGTTTGTCTCAGTGTCCCGCCACTCACAGAACCACACACTCCACTCCCTATACTACAACCAGTTAGTAGCGCCATGCAACATCAGCCTCCCTGATGCCTGCGCCAACCACCCAGATGAAGAACAGGAACTGCGATGTAACTCTTAGTGCCGATGAGCAACTTTGACGAAGAAAGCTGCAGCTATGGCTCCAGCGCCACTGTAGATGCCACGCACGATCTCAGAGGAAGATGCAGCGACAGTGGTCCACCCACGAACACCAAGTAGAGCCTCCGAATAGCCCAGCCGCTCGCAAGCACCCCCAGGGGTGGATGCTCAGAGGACGCCCCGGCTATGGCGAGCTCCAGAAGGCTGGCTATGGCTGCCGTCCACGACAAAGGTCTCAGGATGCCGCCTGTAGGCAATTGTCTCCCCAGTACTTGCTTGGCCCAGAACGCTGCAACGCGAAACTGAAAACTGCCAAAAGTCCTCCCCCTAGTGACCTAGTTCTATTAATAGACTACCCTAGACCTAGATATGAACTGGACCGACTGGTACTGTTTCAGTTTGGACCTCTAGGGCCTCTACCTACCCGGCTATAGGCTCTCATGCTACGGGTCTAGGCCATAGGGCCTCCCGTCCTAGTGATAGCCCGGGCCTGCTATTCGCAGTGCGGTCTAAGGGAACTGCGGGCCTGTAATTTTCCAGAAATTGCAGATATGTTCCTCACGAATTTCCCTCAGCACTGAACTCTCGGTTCGTCCCTGACACAAACAAAATTACGAATCTAACCCTACCGCTGTTACTGTACAGCCTCGCAGTCAGATCTCGGCAGTCAAAATCAGCAAGTCATTGCACAACTGGCATTTTTCGCTCGTCTTCTTCCGACAGATCGATTGATCGATCGATCGATGGCTGTTGCCCTTTAATGGTGTTTGTCAAGCCAACGTGATGCCAAGGTGGACGTGCAACGTCATTACCGGGGTGCTAGCGTGTGCGATGTTGTGATATAATGATATTGTCAATTTGTCACAGTACTGGCCCTTGGGCATCCTTTTTTTTTCTTTTTTTTTGGGGGGCAGCATTTTTCGGCGTTGCACTCGCCCATGTTTCTTAGTTTTTTTAACTTTTTTCTTTGAAAGGGTGACAGCCTTGAGATATCAAATCATATCATCATCGAACTGATCAGCGCCATGAAACTCAACTCAGAATTATTTTGTCATCTTCATCTGATTGCATCTGGATTCGAACTTGGGTCTGATTCATATTTCAACAGTTCATGGGTGTACCAACTGAGCTAGGGGCATTGGTGGTAAGTCACCGATGCTTAGGCGGCATATGAAGATACGATCTCCTGTATTAAAAAAAAAAAGAACTATTTGCAGACGATCTCAACTTCAGGTCTGGAACCGCATACCTTGTCCTTTTCCGCCGTTGCGTAGTCGTCAAGATGTGAATGGCGATGTCTTTGTGGCTTGTTCCACCACGCTCCAAATGCACAAAATGAGACTGGATCTCCCGCTAGAACATGGGTAGATACACCGCCATTTTTTTGTCTTTTGTGCATGTGGCGAGTAGTGGAGCGAGGCCCAATGTCTTTGTTAAACTACCAGTTCACGCGAACCTGAGTTGATGAAGCTAGCTTCCAGTGCTTGCGAGCCTGCAACTGCACCTTGTCAAAGTGACCTGCTGGTTGCTGCGTTATTCACTACCGGCCCCAGGCCCGAAATCAAAAAGCTCTTATCGCAGCAAAAAAAAAAAAAAAAAAAAAAAAAAAAAAGAAAGAAAGCAACAACAACGAAAAGCTCTTACCGTGGGGGTGAGATGAGTGAACCTTGCCCGTGTACCCGTATGTCGGAAAAGCCCTAGTAACAGTCTGACGAGGAAAAAGGGAAAAGAAAAACAAACAAACAAGAATAAAATAATATCAATAAGAATGCAATCAGACTCACTCTCATTCACACTTCTCATGCCTGCAAACAGGTGCGCAGCAAACTGGCGACAAGCGCCCACTCAGAACTCAGAGATATGGTAACCGAGAACACAGTTCAGATACAAGTTCACTTCGATGGCTATGGCAACTCAGCGCCCACACAACTCTCTGTTCGCATCCACAGGATCACCCTGGATATCCCACACGCGATACTCTGAACACACACACATACACACACTGAACTCTATCTACAGATATGGTGGCTATGGCCGCTACTACCCTATCGCTATGGCTACGCTCCTTCTCTCTCGCCCACTTCGTCCTCGGGCTCACTGCAGACCACCTCGCACAAGTCGCTTATGGCAGCGCTTCCGCATGGCTCACGCAGGAATGAATGAATGGCTGGGCGCTGCCTCTTGATTTATACTTCTGCAGCTCGTTGGTCTGGCCCCTTTCCCATGCCCATAGTGCACACAGTCCCATGCGGTACTTGCTTGACTGGACCAGGACTGACTAGGACTGGGACTGTTGACTCAGCACGGGTAGACTCCACCACTTGCCCACTTGCCTCACCACTTGCCCACTGGCTTCAGCCTAAACGTGGGCAACTTCGAAAGGCCACTCCTCGGACCTTCCGGAAGGCCGTAGACTTGGCCTTTCGATGCTGTAGCAGCTACGACCTTGACCTTTCGAGAAGGCTACAGCTACAACTTCTAGACCTGACTGAGACTCCTACTCGACAGGTCTACAGATCGAACCCCTACTACCCATGGACCCTACGACAGTCTACCAACTGTTACAAATACACAGGTCACGGGTTCAACTCTAGGGGTCGACACAGATACTGTGCACAGGTAAGGTGGGGACTAGGGATTGAGCCCTGGGATCTGCCTCAGCTATTGTGAACTGGTGAATACCGTTTCAAGAAGAACAAGAAGAAGAATTAAAAAAAAAGGTGAATGGCATGCGAGACAAAGGCAGAAGATCCATAGAGCAGAAGCGTTAAAAAAAAAAGAAAAAAAGAAAAAGAAAAAAAAAAAAAGATTCTTGAGAGTCTGTATTGCCGACCCAGAAGCGAGAAAAGTTTAGAAAACTATTTCACCCAGGCTTGGTCTTGTTATTGTTTTTCCAGGGGGGGGGGGGGGGGGGGGGGGGGGTGTGGGGGGGGGTTGTGTCAGAGAAGACATTGCTTAGTGCCTTCCTAGCCACGTCTAGTATGGTCTGCTATCCCATGTACACCTCACGTTCCCGAACTCCCTATTCAACTGCATCTCCTAGAGGCCAGAACACGATCAGAGATCTTCCAAGGACTGGCTAAATGCGGTGATCTCCTTAGCAAGCCTGCTGATTACGACTTGTCAACTCGTTTTTTTTTATATATAATTAATCCACTCGAGTGGCCTGTCTGCCGTATTTCTCAATAGTGCATGTATGAATCGAGAGTGGTGCAGCGGCCATTATTATCCCCGAGTTCTCGTTCTACCTGTTTGTCTTTCCCACCCCTCTGCCTCTCCCATTTTTTTTTCCATCGCCGAGTTCTCATTCTACCTGTGTGTCTTTCCCACCCCTCTCCCTCGCCCATTTTTTTTTCTCATCGCGGAGTTCTCAATTCTGCCTGTGCGTCTTTCCCACCCCTCTCCCTCTCCCATTTCGGGAGACGCATGGGAAACGCACAAACACATGGTCCTGAAGCTCCACGATTATGTCTGCTGTGAGTGAGAGAGGACATGCAACTCAGAGAGCTCGGCGATAATGGCCGCTGTGGTGGCATCCAGAGTGGCGCGTGTCAAACGCCGCTGTGGATATAGCAATGGCGGATGACAAGCAACGCAGGAAATGGCTAATGCAACACAGTCCATCTTACTTTTCTTTTCTTACCTGTGTGTCTTTCCCACCCCTCTCCCTCTCCGTTTGCTAACTTCTGAGCAGACGTGTGTACACTGTGTACTCCAATTTTTCAAGGATTTTTCAAAAAAGGTAGTTTCTAACGCTGTCGTACTGAAATATGTGTGCAGGTGGCGACGCGCTTTCTGGCATCCCATCCAGTCGTCTACTGGTACGGAGCAATGGTGATGTGGAAAGGGCGAGGAATGCGAAGGCAGAACAAGGCTGAGAGCGAATCATGTGAGAAGGAGAAGACGGACGACTTTACGGAGGAGGGTCAATTGACACGTGCGGGCAGAATTCTGTGGACAGTGTTTCTGTGCTATATCGTGGTCGGCACTCTGTTGTTTACCAACTTCTATCCCTTCACCTAAATGTCATCAGCACAGCATTGCCAGTGTATGATTGAGCGAATACGGCAATGGATGGGTGATGTCGAGGCACGGCATGCACGGCATGCACGGCATGCACGGCAATTGCATTCACGGTGGGCACTTGGGACCGGTGCGGGGATGCTTTCCATTCCCATTCGCATTCCTGATCACACATTACGTAATTTACATTTGGAGAAAAGGTGCCAATCTGATGGGTTGTTCTCAGCAGAAGAAGAAGGCACTGATCGGAATAACTGCAATTGAGGCAGCTGGGATCACCTTTTTGTATGTTTGCTTCATAGCTGTCAATGAGCCTAACACTAACATAGGCAGGGATGATTAACATCTCTCTCTCTCTCTCTCTCTCTCTCTCTCTCTCTCTCTCTCTCTCTCTCTCTCTCTCTCTCTCTCTCTCTCTCTCTCTCTCTCTCACATGTTTCTTTTTTCCTTTCTTCCAAGTGGTTTATTCCACAGTGTTAATGTAGTAAGTTACTACTTATCGATCAGAAAATGAGCTCATGATCTTTTTCTCGGCAGGTACTCGTGTGTAGTACTAGGCCATTCCACCATCTGGCGTTACTTCCTTTCGAAGTTCGAACTGATTTACTACGTTCGGAGATGCTCGTGTGTGCTCGCACACCTGAGCATAGGAAGGTCTTTTTAGAAGCACATGGAATTGCTCCTAAGGATACATAGGTTATACGTAGGTTAACCTTTGTGTACCAGCGGTTTAACCTTTGTGTACCAGCGGTTTAACCTTTGTGTACCAGCGGTTTAACCTTCGCGTACCAGCGGTTTAACCTTCGTGTACCAGCGGTTTAACCTTTGTGTACTGGTGGGGTTTAACTTTAACCTTTGTATCCTCAAACCGCCAGTACACGCCCCCAGCCTTGCTGAGAAGAAACCCGTCGTCGGTCAGAAAAGTTTGGGGCCGGCGCGCCGTTGATAAATTCTATCAATGTTCAGTGTCGCGTTTCGGGCCTCTGAAACTCACGGTGAGGGCCCCACGGCCGATGGATCGCTGTGTACTGGTGGGGTTTAAAGTTTAAACCACCAGTACATGGCCCCAGGCAACTGGAGAACCTGTTCTGAGCCTCTCCAAAAATTTAGGAGGCCGAGCGCCGCAGGTAAAATGAATCGGCGGTGGGCGGCCTCCGCAAGTGGCCCGCGGTCGATAGCTGGCATGGACTGGTGCTTTAAAGCACCAGTACACCACATAACGGCCCGCGGGTGTCAGCATGAAACCCGCACCACTTCGGAGGCCGCCAATTTATTTTTTTAAACGGTGGGCCTGGCCGCGCGGTGCCTCCGAGTTTTGCTTGTGGCGACAAAAACTTTCTGCAAGGCTGGGCCCATTTACTAGCGGTTTAGGGAAGGTGATTCCCCTTGTGGCATGAAAGCATTCATGAGGAGAGGACATTGTTCCTTATGATGGGGTGCTGTTGCGAAGGGACTACAGCTGTTCCTTGTGATGGGGAACTGTTCCCAAGGACAATAGCTGATCCTAAGGAAAGTAACTGTTCCTTCTGATGCACCCTAAAGGACAACGACTCTTTTTAAGGACAATTGCTTTCCCTAAGGAGAATAGCTCTTCTGAAGCACCACAGCTGTTCTTCGCGACAATAGCTGTTCCTTACGGTGGGAAACTGTTCCTAAGGACAATAGCTGTTCCTTACGGTGGGAAGCTGTTCCTAAGGACAATAGCTGTTTGTAAGGACAATGCTTGTTCCTTATGATCAGGAACTGTTCCTAATGACAATAGCTGTTCCTTATGGTCAGGAACCGTTCCTGAGGAAAATAGCTGTTCCTTATGATCAGGAACTGTTTCCAAGGACAATAGCTGTTGCTAAGGACAACACTTGTTCCTGATGACCAGGAGCTGTTCCCAATGACAATAGCTGTTCCTAATGGAAGGAAAATGCGTCCAAGGATAGGACAGTATTCGCACTCAAAAGGCGTTCAAGCCGTTCAAGGTGTTCGTGAGGATTTCCCAAGCTGTTCGCAAGCTGTGCCCAAGGTGTTCCCAAGCTGTTCCCAAGGTGTTCCCAAGGTATTCCCAAGCTGTTCCCAAGGTATACCCAAGCTGTTCCTAAGGGCAATAGCTGTTCCCAAGGTATTCCGAAGCTGTTGCTAAGGGCAATAGCCGTTCCCAAGGTATTCCCAAGCTGCTCCTAAGGACAATAGCTGTTCCCAAGGTATTCCCAAGCTGTTCCCAAGGTATTCCCAAGCTGTTCCCAAGGTATTCCCAAGCTGTTCCTAAGGACAATAACTGTTCCCAAGGTATTCCCAAGCCGTTCCCAAGGGGTATTCCCAAGCTGTTCCTAAGGCCAGTAGTTGTTCCCAAGGTACTCCCCAGCTGTTCCCAAGGCGTTCCCAAGGTGTTCCGAAGGGTCCCGAGGTATTCCTTCTACACAAGGAGAACATGTTGATGCGACTGCTTTGTGGCACTGTGAGCCCTCGGATTGCATCAATGATCAATGATGGATCTGCAAACAGGTTACAGGGATATAGAGTAGCAGACAGAGTAGGAAACAGATGGTTAGGCAGGGGAATTGACATTTGCAGAATAGTCTAGGAGACTATGAAAAGATACTAAGCAGGCAGGTGGGACTATTCTGGCAGGTGGGACCAATTCTGGCAGGTGGGACCAAAGAAGTACCATGTTCTTTCCTTTGGCAGGCAGGTCGGAACGAAGAAGTCCCGTGTTCTTCCCTATGGCAGGTGGGGATGAGACATCTCCAACTTCGGGAGGTGGGAGTGATACCAAGAGTCTCCAAGCTTCTGAAATGATATGAAGAGGAAGGTGGGAATGAAGAAATAACACAGGCATGTTCACATTAGAATCGGCATCGAGGAAGAATAGTTGTGTCACCCTTGTTGGACTGCATGGGAGTGGGAGCTAGGCGAAAAGGTGTTATCATGGCTGAGCTGTGCGCAGAAGTAGTATTCAACTCCTTTTCAGGTTTTTCTTTTTCAGCTTTTTAGGAGCAGGTGGCATATGTGTCTGTTCCACTGGTTTCCTGAGCAGCATCCAGCACACCACTCATCTTCATTCACTCGACTTCCCAACCTCTCTCACACACACAAACACACACACACACACACACACACACACACACACACACACACACACACACACACACACACACACAC